GACGCACATCAGTATCAGCTGACGTTACTATACGAAGACGTCCCAAATTTCCCACTTATTCAATAGCCGTAGGAACAGAGGAGGCGATTAGGAAATGGGCGCAGCAGTAAGCGCTTTCAGTGAAGTGTTTTATCGAATATTTTTTTGAGGGCTTGCGTCAGAAATGATTGTGGCTTTGTGGGTGCGTGCCAACAATATTTCATAAATAATATGTGTGTGGAGTTTATCGCGGTGTGTGGGGAGGGTGAGTTTGGGCAACGCAGGGTGTGTTTTTTGCAGGTTGAGTGAGTTTACCAGCGGCGACAGCAATGGGTTGGTGCCCAGCACCGCCCATAAGTCGTGGATCAAACTGAATTTAGGCTGTTCCTTTTTTTTTCCGCGTTGGTGCAATGTTTCCTATTATTTTTTTTTTCTATGGCGTCGTTCTGGCTGGTGTGCCGCCGCAATGGGTGCAGCCGAATTCCTCTCTGAGGGTCTCGAGCAAAAAGGATGCTTGACGCTTCTGTCTCTTGCTGCGTTGCCATCCTGGGCGTATGTGCGCCTGCTCCGTGCGTTGTTTGGGCCGCACGCACCGGGCGAGCAGCCTGGAGCTGTGGGCACGTTGACGCCGCCCTCCCCCTCCTCCTCCTCCTCTTTTCCCGACTGAAGGAGTGCGTGCGGGAGGGGGCCGCCTCGCTTTGTTCGGCGGGGCCTTTTTGTTTTTGTGTTTTTGAAGGGGCAGCAGAGCAATTGGATGTAAACTCCCCCTTGCGGGGGTGCGGGCTTCGGAGTTGTTTGTGGTGAGGGTAAACTGTGTGTTTGCGTGTGTTTCGGCGAGGGAGCGGCAGCGGGACGGTGCAGGTCCCAATGAAATGTAAACGATGTTTGTGCCTGCGGACTTCCAGTGGGAGATGAGGCAGATGCATCCGTCCCTGCGGGTAATGTGCAACGTTTTGTGAGGCCACCCGCCCCATACGCCTTTTTTCTTTTGTTTTTGCTTCGGGGGTCCATCGTGACGGATGCGGCGGCAACAGGGCCGGCTGACGTCAAACGCTCTGTGGGCTTGGGCCTCCTCCTCTTCGCGAGCCCCCCGGCTGTTTGTTCACGCACGGCTGCCGCCCATGCACCTCGCAGTTGCCAATTCTGTGGAGGACTCTTGCCACGGCACCGGCGCCGTCTTGGGTGAGTGTCTTTTCTATGTTTCTGTGCAGAGCCGGACACCACAACCCGCCGGACGCAGTTGTGCAAATGCGCTTGGACGGCCTCAGAGGTGCGATTGGGGGTCGGGTGCCACAAGGCGCCTGCGTCACGGGCTGGCCTTCTTTTTTATTTTTTGTTGGGGAACCTAAAAGCAAACAGACTACCCGCCCGCACATCCCCCGCCTCTGGCTGAGGGCGAGCCACGCCGCTGGGAGGTCCGCCGTTGCTGCGTGGCACCCTCTGAAGGCCACTCACGAGGCGCCGGCTTTCCTTGGCGTGCATGCCAATGCCTCAATGCGTGCAGGTCCAACACTGCGCCTGGGGTTGTCATTTGCCGGCGGCGTTCACCTGAAATTTGGCGGCTCTGCTGCGGTGGAGGATTCATTGGAAAAGGTGGAGGGGCTGTTTCCCCTGGTGGGGCTTCGGGGGGCCTTTGGTGGCACAACCCAGCACACGCCGGTTGTTGACGAGGGCTTTACTGGAGCTCAGCGTCCCGCAAACCCTCAACCTCTCTGCAGAAGTCGTGCGTAACGGTTTCAGGTGCGACAAGCACGGTGAGAATTGCATTGCACCGATTTCCAACGATGTCACAGTCCAACATCTCCGTGTCGGTTAGCCTTGCTGAATGTTTGCGGCCGCGTCGTGACAAATAGCCTGGTCCCGCTATTGGCACAGCTTTTGGGTAAAATGCTCGGACACACACGATGAGCTGTGGGGCCGTTCAGGATTCCCGCGCATGCTTTCCGGATGCTGGGAAAAGTGGGTATTCAACTCCACCCTCAACGCCGCCTTTTGGCGGGCGTGCTTGCTGTGGGTGCGCCGCTTATTTTGGCACCAGCCGCTGCCAGGAGTCTGTTGGCGTTAGCGCCGAAATGTGGTAGCTGCACGCGAAGGTGACCCCGTATCAATTGGGGCGTGCACTAGTGGTAGACGCTGCCTTGACGACTCTGACTGTTCTCGCAGCCTTCGGCTTTTGCTTGGACCAGCGCCACGACTGCAGCCGGTTTGTTTGTTTGGGAGAAGCTTTTTCATTAGTGAGCTTCTCACTCATGGACTCCACACACACAAAGCAGTGAATTTTGCTGGCGTGTACGTGTTTGTGGTTCCTGTTTTTTTTTTGCTTTCGGCGGTGTGCGTCTTTGCACCACGCCGCCGGTCACCGTTGTAATGCACGCTATTCCCGCAAAAACCCGGCCTGGGGGGATCTTGGGGCCGATTGGCTGCTTTGGCAAATTCTCGTTCCTCGATTCCTGCGGGGCGTGCTCCTTGTGGGGTCAGGGCCGCAGCTGAAAGGCGTTGCCTCGGCGGCGCTGCGTGCTGGAGTTTACTTTTTTTTTCCCCCCTGCGGCAGCGGCACTTTTCATTTTTATTGGGGGATGACGCGACCACCGTCTGGCGCCGCGACACGCCACTTCGCAAAAAACGCGGCGTCGAAGGGGCCAGTTGCCGGCGATGTGCCCGAGGCGCAGTCCAATGGGAGGGCGCGAAGAAGGCACGCGAAGGAATTGGCTGGCCGTGCCGTGGAGTGAGGACGTGCCTTTGCGATGGGCCCACACCGCACATTTGTCTTTGCGTGTGTCAGTCTCTCTGCTGGGTGGTTCCTTGTGCTCGGTGCACCGTGAAAGGGAGTGGCTTCGGCAGCTGTGCCGGAAGA